CCATGTGTTCCCCAAACCCGCACAGTCCAGTTCCTAAACTGGGCACAACAAAGCAGAGGGATGGGGACAGTAGGGACAGGGAAGGAAAAAGAGGATCTTTTTTTTTTTTTTAATCCTCACCCGAGGACATTTTTTCATTTTTTTGTTGTTGTTGTTTTTGTTCAGATAGAGTGGGAGGGAGAGAGAGGAAGAGAGAGAGAGAGAGAGAAACATAGACATGAAAGGCACACATTGAGTGGCTGCCACCCGCACGACCCAACCAGGGCCGGGGACAAACTGCAACCGAGGTACGTGCCCTTAGCGGGAACCAAACCCGGGTCTCTCCGGACCTCAGGCTGATGCTCTAACCACTGAGCCAAACTGGCCAGGGCAGGAGAGGATCTTTGAGCAGCAACTGTGCAGCCTTCAACCCACGGCAAAGCCTCTCAGCTCCACCTACAAGAAGAGCTACGCCTTCCCGGGTGATTTCACTCGGGGTGTGGTGAGAGGCCTCAGAGCCTTCGTGGGGGACCGTATGTGGCCTTTTTGCTCACCTCCCAGGAATCAGGTCACCCTCAGACTGCTTTGTGCTTCCACGGTTTTCCATGTCTTTGAATCATGACTCAGAAAGGCCTGTGGGTCTTGGAGGGAGGTTATCCATTGGATCACCTGTCATAGAATGTGCTGTCTGCCTCCAGGCTGGGGCACAGGCTTCATGGCAGTACATCAATCACCTGGTTATAAAGCAGCTGGGAGGCTAAAGCTGAGACTTTGTTTTTTCCTGGGCCCCCCTGTTTTCTGGACTTGGGCCCATACTGGACTTTCCATCAGGCTCTGGATTGAGAGACACACTAGAAAGACACCGGTTCCGACACCAGTCTTGGCTCGGCACTGAGCAGCTGTACATCCCTAGGTAGATCACTGTACGTCTCTGGGCTTCCCCCTCTCTTCTTGGTGAAAAGAGGAGATTAGACTGGATTAAGTTGCCCTGAATCTTGTGTTTTAGAATATTGGTCCCGGGAGATGCTGAGCCAAGTGAAGGTGCTGCCTCTTTAGCAGGTGTCGTCAATGTACGCATTCGATTATTCCAAGGTTCTGGGGCCTATTCGAAACACCTGCTTCATGCTGCTTAACCGGGCATCCCCCACATTTACTAGACTGTGAAATTCTTTCCTTTTGTAACACCTACTAGCCTCCAGGGGAACCTAGCATTGCTCAGAGCTCACTTTGGAAAACGGGGACTAGGCCATCTCGATTGCTCTGTGATTCTCTGTTTGTTTGCGCAATATGAGTTTTCCAGAAGCCTGCTGCCATCCCTCCCAGTCCTGCTCTCAGAGTCACGGACACGTGGCTGGGTCTGTGTGTGCGCTGTCGGAATCTGTTTCCATTTCAGCGACTGCAACTCAAGTGGCTGGTCAGCTGGCCAGAGCTCAGGCCCCGGACCCTAAAGCCTCCTGGAGACTTCTGGCTGGACAGAACTTCTACGGAACGTGGGCTCCATCCCCTGCCTTCCCACCAATTTTGCTATCTCAAAGGTCAACACTGCTTGCAGTTTTTGTTCATAAAATCACCGAGGAAGGACGGTTCTTAGTTGCCTCCTGCAGTTTATTTTGGGCTCAAACCCACATTTAAGTTTAACCAAATTCCGCCTGCTGCAGTGACAAGCCAGGATTCACGTGTTGCCGAAGGTTTATTGTGTGCCTCTCATCTAGGAAACGAGGAACATTCCCTAGGGCTTCACTGGGGGCCTGAGAAGTCAACACACAGGAGTCACTGGAGAGATCAGACGGTGCTATATATATAGTTTTAAGATTTTAAAATTGATTTTTAGAGAGAGAGGAAGGGAGAGGAAGAGAAAAATGTTGAAGTGAGAGTAAGACATTGATTGGCTGCTTCCTGCACACCCCCCACTGGGAAACCTAGGAGTGTGCCCTAATCTGGACTCAAACCAGCAACACCTTGGCGCTCAGGACAACACACCACCAAGTGAGCCACACCGGCCAGGGCAGCAACTTATTCTTAATGTGCTTCTAACACAGTGGGCCTCCGTGTTCTCATCTGCTGAATGGGAATAATGATCTGTGGATGTCCAGGGCATCAGTGGGCATGAAAGCACTCTGCAGCCTCTCACGTGCCCACGCTGCAGGCAACGGGGAGAGAGAGGGAGACAAACGATGATTTCAACAGGGGTGAGTGCAGGACAGGAGATGCGAATCTGTTATCCCGTCAGCTCCCACACGCCTCTCCCAGTGTGAGCATCTCTCCTCACTCTGACTCCGAAGTGTTTAAAGATATATAAATTCTCATACATCACGGCCCTGAAATGCAAACCAACTACTTCATCTGGTACTCAACCAAGAAAACAGAGATCTGTTGCCACACTGTAGGAAACACTGCTGGTGTCGGTTTTTTTCCCCTGTGGGCAATATGCTCATCTCCACTGGGGCCCCTTTCTAAGGAGTTTTCAAGGGTAATAGTTTTGACTGTCTGCCACACGCTGCCTTTGCGCTTGACGCCCACGCAAGAGGTGCCTCGTTGGAACAGGTGTGGGGATAATTACGGTAAATCCCCCCAGCCAGGCTTTCTACTGGGCCTTCCGGGAGGAGAGAGGAGGGATCTCCACCCGGGGAGGGGCGCCCAGCAGCACAGGCCGAGCTCAGGACTGCTGTGGCAAGCAGCTCTGTTTACTAGCCTTCCCTCCCAGGACACCAGGTTTGTCAAACGTCCCAGCCCCTGCAGCCAGATGGCCCCCAGGCGCTGGCGTTGCCCGTGGCGGCCCCCAGCCCCAGCCCCAGCCCCAGCCCCAGCCTCAGCCCCAGCCCCAGCCCCAGCCCCTCGCCATTGGCCAGGAGGGCGCCCAGTTGTAGTGCGCGCGCACCGCCTGGCAGCCGGCCGCCCCACCTCTCCGCGCCCATTCATCCTGCAGCTCATTCACTCGGCTGGCAGGCTGCGGCGGCCCGTCCCTCCCAGGCACTCCGTGCGGCAATTTATTTATGGCCATGTGCGTGCGTGAATCGGGAAGAGGGGGCGAGGGAGGCACTCTCCTCTCGCAGAGGCATTCTTCCCAGGCCCAGCCAGAATCGCTCCAGTCCTGCCCGGGCTGATCACCTGGGCGGGGCACTGTGCTAGGCACTTGACCAGCTTTGTCTGCTTGAATGCCTCACTGCCGCCTTTCAAGGTAGGTATCATTAAACCCATGTTATAGGTGGGATGCTGATGGGTAGTCGCGTTAAGCAATGGGCCCCCAATCAAGCCGATGGTCAATGACGTTCCAGCAGGGGCCAACCGCAGCCTCCTAGTCCCCCTACCATGTAACATTGTTGCCTCTTTCCTGGAGATGGTTGTTGGGTTTCACTTACCTCCGCCCACATCCTTAGGATGCCTTTGTGAACTCCCCAGACCTGACTGCTCTCCCCTCCTCCCCCCAAACACGTGGCTCTGATGACCTGGGAAAGGCTGCAACCTGGAACACTCAGAACACTCAGATTCCTTGGCCTTGAGGCAGGACTGGCACCTCTATTGCCCCAGCTGCTCCCTGATTTAGCTCAGACCTTTTCTCTAACCTGAAGCTTCTTTTCCAGAGTTTTACCCCCTTTTCTAAAGAGTAGTCTTAATACCCCTCTCCCCAACCCTCAACACACACCGTGGCTATCTGCAGTATCATGGAAAGGTCACTGACTATGCCAGAAGATCTGGGTTCAAATGCTACAACCATCGAGTGGATACTGTCAGTATCCAGCTTTGCAACCCCAGGCAAATCGTTAAACCTCTCTGAGTCTCCGTGGTCTCATCTATACTAAAGGAGAAAGAATGCTTGTTTCACAAACCTGATGGCCTTGTCCTAAAGATAATTTTAAAAAAGCACACTATGAACTGTGAAGTGTGGTCCCCATATCTGGTATTACTAAGCACTTTGTGTTATGGCCTGTTGGGTCTTGTTTTGGCCCTGGTTAAGCTTGGGTCAGGAGGACTGCCAGGGGCCAGGCTCTGTCTCCGTCCTCTGGTCTGGGGAAGATGGGACCTGCTTGACTCTCTTGACCCTTCTCGACGATTTTCCTCCTGATCAGTTTATCTGGCTGCAGAGCAAGCAGGCGGCCAGCCACGCACTGCAGCCAGACCAGCGCCAGACCTGGCCGAGCTGCCTGCCGGGAGCCTCAGGGTTAAGGTCTGTGCGTCAAAGTTACGTGGAGAGAGGGGGCCACAGTGGGGGTGGGGGTGTCGATGGTGCACCCAGACCTCCTTTTAGTATCTTTCCCTGAGAACTGAACTAGGGAAGTTTAGACAGGAGGGAGATGGGCGCACCCCTGGGGAAGGTGAAGGAGTGGTATTGTGACTGACAGCAATTCCTCCTGCTCTGGGTGGCTGAGCTCTGCATGCTAATGCAGCCAGGGACGGAGCTGGAGCCTGTGCCAGGACCCTGCCAGGGGTCTGAGGCTGGTTTACCTTTTTTGGGTTTGCAGAGCCACAGGCTGTTTACAGACCTTTTTGCCCGTTGGCTGCCCTAATCCTCACCACAACCCAGACAGGTAGGCAGACCAGGCATTGCCCTGTTGGACAGATGGGGTCAGAGAGGTTAAGAGATGGAGGCTGAGCAGGGGGCAGGGGTGCAGCATGCTGGAGGTCCTACACCCTGCAGATGGACTGCCCCTCCCAGGCACAGAGCCCCGAGGATTGTCCCTGGAATGCAGCCTGCAGGCAGGCATTGCAGGGGGGACATGGACAGATATGTGGCTCCCCTTTTCCTGGCCAGAAGTGCAAAAGGTTCCCACTCAAACCAACACTGAAGTGATGCCAGCGGTTCCCCACGGAGGTCTCACCCAGACCTCATTCAGACTCATTTTCCAAGGCAGCTACAACTTACCCTTGATCCCACACGGATCAGGCTAGACTAGAACTGAGTCTGAAATAAACACCCAAGTTGCTCACAGAAGTGATTCTTTAAACCCACTCTCTAGGAGCCAGCCGCCTCCCACTAAGCAGGAACCCCCCCTAAAATCAATAAAGAAGCAGGTTCATCTTACCCAGGGACTCGGAAAGAATTCGTGCTCCCGGTGCTCCCACTCCAGCTCCTACAGGTCTGTGAGGATTAGCTGCTCCAGCGCTTTAACAATAAACCGAATTAAAGGGGAGGAATGCAGGGGTTTTCTTTCCCAGGACCGTAACCAGGCAGCCTTAAAGGGGAGGAAAAGTAGCTAGGTGGCTTGCATCTCTCCTTCCTTTCCTCTGCTCTGCTTTCCCTCCCTCCCAGCAGTATTTAGTCTGATCCAGAAAGATGCTTTTGCAAAGCCCTTTTATGTCTTTATGCCATCTCTCTCTGTGTGTGCACACGCGTGTGTAAGGGTTTGCATTGATGTGTGTGATGAAAAGAGAGAGAGGAGAAATAAAAAGCAAAGACAAAACATCAGATTCCAGGTTTCCATTGCCCTCAATGGGTGGACAACAGAAAGTCCAAGAAGCTTTCTAGGTCTGCCTGCCTCAGTTTCCCTCTTAACCACTCAGTTGCTGGGATGTGTTGTTGAAAACACCTACTGAGCAGTAGGGCTTCTACATTGGCTGAATACAGAGCCCTCAGTATTCTGGCTTGATGTCTCTTACAGAGAAGTCCTTGCATGTCCTGCAAGGGGGACCCTAAATTGAATGGTTCTACCCATTATCTCTGCTACAGCTCCTTTCCCCTACTTCTAGGAGCACGACATTCCCACCCCCAAACCTACCACCCCTCTCAGTCCTAACTCACTGGACCCTACGAGACCACTCCCGTCCTTCAGAAACTCTGCTCCCTCACACTCACCTCTTCGTCCTGCCCTTGACCAGGCCTTGAGGTCCCCACCCCAGCTTCTCCCTGCTGCTCCTTCAGTGCAGGGTACTTGACCCTCCGTCTCTGCCCTCTGACTCCTCCTTCTCTACTCTCCCCTAATCTTACACACTCACAGGGTCTTCATGTGAATGTCCCCTATCAACACCCCCGTCTGGATGGTCGACCTTGATCTCAACATCCAAATATCCACTTCCAGCCACTTGAATAAATATGTTCATATGGGTCAGAACTCAGAACTCTATTACGAGGCATACAATGGGGTGTATGCCCACTCTACACCCCATGCCCCCTGCCCCCTACCCTGCCCTCTATAGGTGGCTACTTTTATTAGTTTCTCATGTATTTGTCCAGTATTTGTTTATGTGGATACAAGCACATATGTAGCTCTACCTTTCTTACACAAAAGGCGATAAGTAAGTGCTGCTTCTTTTATATTTCATCTTTACTATATTAATTCAGACCCTCACCCTCTCTCTGAGGTACTATTGTAATAAACTAGGCTCTAATTGGTGCCCAGGGAAGGTGACCCGTGGGGATAGTTAAAAAAGGCTTCGGAAAAGACACTTAGGTTGGACTCCTGGGTCATCCATTGACTTGTGTGGCCTTGACCAAGTGGCTTAACTGCCCCGTGCCTCAGTTTCCCCATCTGTAAAATGGTAATTGCTGAGCTTTCTTCATAGACTAGGAGGGTGGAATGAAACAGAATACATGTGCTTGGAACAGTGACAGGCACATGGTAAGCAGTCAGCGAATGTGAGATAGGATTATTTTATCTCCAATCCAACTTTGATTCTTGATATAGTTATCTCCATAAAGCACATAGCTGCCACCTCAAAACAATCTGTTACCTGTAGAATGAAAGCCAAACACCTTAGGCCGTCACTGAAGGCATCCCTGGGTCTGGCACGGAACTCCCCTCTTCTCTCAGGTGCTCCGTCTGTCCAGCTGACACCCCTGTCATAGCACATGGGGCACTGGTCTCCGGCAGAGACCAGCCTTTGCCTCTGCTCACCTACCACCCAGAATGCTCTTTCCTCAGTCTCTGCCCATGGAAATGTTATCAACTTAAAAACTCTACATCAAATGCCATCTTGTCCATGAAGCCTTCCATGATTTCCTGACCTTCTCAGAACTAATCACTCCTTCCTCTGTGCTGTTCCCCAGACTCATCATGGGCAGCTCTTCTTGGTTCTTCATTTTTTTCTGCCTTGAATTCTACTTTGCATTTCCATTGCTTAGATTCTCTGGGTATAGTATCCCAACCAGCAGCTGTCCTCCTGTTGAACACGGGGCTGCAGAGTTTAATCACGGCCTGAGACAGTCCAGCAATGCCTGTGGACATCAACAAACCTTAGAAGGTGTATCTCTGTCAGGTGCTGAATTCCGCCTTGGACGTCTTCTCCAGCACACACATACGTATACTTGTTCCTTAAGTATTTATCAAGCACTGACTGGGTGCTAGGTACTGGGGACACGAAACCAGACTGAGACCCTATACTCACAGAACGTCTACTGTCCAAGGACACAAATAAGTCAGTTCTGGGCTTTGTCATGTGCCCTGTACAAGTTTGGATCAGGCGAGGAGCTGCCTGTCAACACCAGCTCACCAGAGTCCTCTTTGCTCCGTCCTCTTCCCTCCGGTCCACCTGCACACTGCTGGCCTCGGCGAGCCACAGAGCCAGGAATGAGTTACAGCTGTGGAAACAGAAGTAGGTCCTGCGTGGGTCTCCTACGCTGGATGCCATCGGAAAAAGTGTTGCCTTTTTATGCTGAACTCAGAAGGCAGATGTCCTGGCAGGTGCTGACCAGGCCACACACCAGACATCAGAGGCCAAGAGGGGGCAAAGCATCCATTGCTTTATTACTGGCACAGGTGACCAAGAACTGCAGGGGCATTGGGAATGCTATTCAAGGAGGTGGAAGGGACCTCTTGGCATGATAACACATGTACAGTGCACATATACACACATACACACTTACATACCCATGCTTGCAGTTTTGTTTGGTTCAGAGTCTTTTAATGGCCTTATGTCTACATTTTTCCCAATCAACCATTCAACCAAATACTTATTAAACATCAACTCTGTGCCCTGTAGACAAGATAGGACTGAAATACAGAAAACCATCAGAGATCCATCAATAGCTAAGCAGGGTACTATTAACTCATGTTGTCACCAGAGATGGGGCCAAGTGGGTGGGATGCTGTGGGTTGGGGACATCAGGAAAGTTTCCATGGAAGAGTTTCATGGAGCTCGGCCTGGGCCTTAAGGATGAAGAGGGCCAGATTTGGGAGGTGAGGTGAGTGGGGTGGGATTAGGAGAACCACAGAGGTTGGAATACACAGGATGCATGCTGGAAATGACAGATGGCCCTGCAATGTGGCGGGGGTCAGGCTGGCCGGGCAGGGTGAATGAGGAGCCCGGCAGAGGGCTTTGCACTTGGCGACAAAGTCAGCAGACAGTCACTCATTGTCGGTTCCTAAGTAAGGGTGTTGGGAAACCGCTGTGTCTCTGAAGTTGGGAGACAGAGACTGGAAGTCCACAGGAAGGCTCCGCAGTCTCTGAGCTGAGGGGTGAGGGCCTGGACTACGAGGGTAGCAGGAGTGGAGAGAAGGGAATGACCTGAAGGAGGTGCCGATGCCTGTCAGGGAGCGTGCTTCTCCTACCCAAAAGGACAGGTGACGCTGGCAAAGGGAGATGTGGCCGAGAGTCCTCCCAGGTGCTCACCTTCGCTGCTCCCCTGTGGTTGTGCTTACCCCTGAAATACACAAAGAGGTCCTCTATGGTTTGATGTAAGAGAACAGGGAAGTGATCATGAGGACAGCAGTTCTTTCTCACCTCACTTTGCTCTGCATCGTCTTTTATATCTAACTAGATCTTGAGATTGAGCTTTTCAGGTAGCCAAATGACAACAAGACGTCACGCGGTGTCAGGGCAGAAAAGGGAAGGGAAAACGGTCTTCATTCATTCATTCATGCATACAACAAACTGTTAGTAAGCACCTACTCCGTCCTAGGCAATATGCTCGGCTCTGAACAGACAGAAATAAGATAGGCACAGTCTTGCCCTGATGACTGAGGTTCTAGCAGTAATGTCAGATTTTAAACAAATACAGATCGTTATAATTGTGATAAGTGCTATGAATAGTTTAGGGCATTATGAAAGTACATGTTACGGGGACCTTACCTATCCCAGAGGAAGTGACTTTCAAACTGGAATTAGAAGGAAAAAGAATTCAGTACAAGAAAAGTCAGAGAGCCCTGGCTGGTGTGGCTCAGTTGGTTGGACATTATCCCATACACTGAAAGGTTGCTGGTTTGATTCCCGTCAGGGCACATGCTGGGGTTGTGGGCTTGATCCACCATAGGGGGTGTGTAAGAGGCAGCCGATCGATGGTCCACTCTCACATTGATGTTTCTCTCTCTCTCTCTGTCTCCCTCTCTCTCGAGAAATGAATAAATATAGTTTTTAAAAAGTCAGAGAAATGAAAGAACAGCCTGTGTAAAGGTCCTGGGGTGGACAAGCCACACCTATTAGAGAGACAGAGAGAAGTGCACTGTGAATGAGCAGTGAGGACACAGGGGAGAGAAGCCCCAAATGCACTGGTGAGGTGGGAAAGGACTAGATTGCACACGGCCTTGAAAGGGTGACGGGGAGGATAACGAGAAGGGAGAAGGCCCACTGCAGATCACATGATACTTAGTTCATAACACTCCAATCTGAAGTCGGATTACAGGATGGAATAGGCACAGGCAGTGGCGGTAGGAGGGAGGGAATCAAAATCATGTGACAATAGAGACAGGCTGGCACACAGGCATGAATTAATGGATGACTCGATACTTTAGTGTTTGTTTTAAAAATAAGACACCAGATTTCTAGGACTTCCAGGAATAGACATGCCTGTGCCTTGGTGTGCATTGTTCCTGCAGCCTGCGATGTGCTCATCTTTTTTTATTTATTTATTTTTATTTTTTTTATCTTTATTGTTGACTGTATTACAGCTGTTCTTCATTTTTCCCCCATTGACTCCCTCCTCCCCACTCCCGCCCCCCTCCTGCCTTTTCCCACACTGTTGTCTGTGTCCATTGGTTATGCATATATGCATATAAGTTCTTTGGTTTATTTCTTCTCACCCCCAACCCCATTTCCCTTTGAGGTTTGTCAGTCTAGGAACCAATTTGTACTTCTTAATCCTTTCACTTTTTCACCCATTCCCCCAACCCCCTCCCCTCTGGCAACCAACAAAATGTTCTGTATATCT